ACGTTTTAATCTTACTAGTTGCCTTTCAATTAAATATTAGTTAAAATTACCAAATCAATTTGTGTATTATTAAAAAATCGAACAACTAGTATTAACTCACTTGAGAACAAATAGACCAATAATACTGATATTCAACACTCCTCATTATGAATTATTGACTATTCGAACAATTGCAGTCCTACATTGTAGATATCGAACAACAAGTGGAAAAAAATGCGAGGCTTGCCAATTGTAATAGTGCAAGCCATACCAAAATATCTTGTATTTTTTTAGTAGATAAAGTGAAATTTATGATCTGATTGGATTTCTTTATAGATAATGGCAAAAGTCAACTACATTAATTGCACGACACTAGGAACGTTGACAAGGCAAGGCAAGGCTATGAGACAATTTATTCGCTTTAAAGACGTCAGCACTTTTTATTACAATATATAAAGTCAAAGGATCAACCGTCCAAAAATTGAATGTTTGGTTAGGCTTAAAATTTAATTAAAATTAAAAATATAGCTGTTATTGAATTTCACTCGTCTAATAAAAGTTAACAATAACGACTAATTTTTCAATTTTAATCTCTATCAAACGTACCCTTAGAGTGTGTTTGATATCCATTAATTTTAAAATACATTTTTCTCTCTTCTTTTTAATCATACATTATTCGATAAAATAATATTATACACGTAAATCCAAAATTTTTCCTTATTTTTTAACCGTGCAATTACCGTTAAATCACTGTTCCAAAATGCATTTGAGCAAAATAACGGGGCTCAAACATGTCCTCAATTCATGTTTGGCTCAACAATGAACCTGTTCACTTCACCAGAATAATTAAATATAAAAAACTTCAACTTGCGTGTAACATTTACTTTTGTGACATCCTACGCTCATTTGATACAATGTATAGATATATTTTTGCTTTCTTATCTGATTGATTGTTTATTTGTTTAATAGAAGTGAACAACAAATAAGACCTCAATTATTAAATTATCAATTAATTAATATCTATTTTCAAATTTTTTTTTTTTTTTTTGGGTATAAGATTAATACTCCGATTAATTATTATTATGTTTTTTTTGTTGCCGTATTTTTCATGTAGAAAGTATTTCAGAAAAAGAAAATATAACAAATCAGTTCCGTATATTATTTTTAGCATTACCGTTCTGTTTTGTATCTAAAATTTTAAAATAAACAAAAAGTTCGAACAGAAAATTGGGGAACTTTCTAGATTGGACTAAGAATTATGATAAGGAAATAGAGAAATGATCTATAAAATACTAGTGCTTAATTTATATAAGTATCGATGACATGACGTATAAATTCGCTATTGGATAAGTTTATGGTGGATCTTAATAGTTGATTTAGGCCCTGTCTGGAACAGCTTGTTCAACACAGAAAATTGATTTTCCACCAATTGGAGCACTATTTTCCAAATGCATGTGAGATGCAAGTCAACAATGGCTGCCGGTGGAGCCCCTTCAACGGTTATAATTTTGCTCCAAATTGGATAGGAAGCTCCAAGCAT